CGTTCGCGCGCGAGACCGAAGGCCCTGGGTTCGAATCCCGCTCGCGGGATCGTGGATGCGCACTGCTGAGGAGTCCCACAATAGGACGAAACGGCCGTCCAGTGCTTCCAGGTTTTCAATTGTGGTGGTCTAACATCAATCGGTTCATGATCTCAATCAAAAAAATATCAATCCACCGTCTCAAATTTGACTGTTCCTTTGCAAATATCGGTCCATTGTCTCAGATCTCATTTTTCATGCGTTTTCATACCAATCACGTTCCGTTCCCGTTGTTTCCTTCTCGATCTTCTACTGAAATACATTCTATGCCTAAACACCGTTATATACTACTTATGTGAATATAAGTAACATACACCACAGATATATCACAGTGAATTATTATTATTTCTGTCAAATATATGGGATAATTTGTATGAATAAGTGATTATTTGAACTGATTTATCTCTAAGTAATAACTAATGTCACGGGGAGGACAATATCACAAAAGTTCAATACGGCTTTTCTTCGGGTTACTGACAAACTCAACAAATTCAAGATCATATTAAATTGTAGCTTCATATTTCTGAAATATCCGATACAATAATAAATTAACAACTCTATGTTTTCAATTTTCAGACGTTCATCAGTTAATATCAGTTTGTGGTTATAATTATTTCAGTCATCTGTTTCTTCTAAGATCCGATAATTTTCTAGTTTCCCTGCTTCTTGTGCCAGATCTTTAAATTTCTTCTAGAAAACAACATTTTCCTCGAATATGTGATAATTTTTAGCTTTTATTTAAATTTTACTGTATTCAACCTTCTGTTGAATACAAAGTTAAACATCCGCTATTAATCACAACATCATGATGTGAGGTTAATGGAGAGTGAGAGAGTGAAAAAGAACTGTAGAGGAGAACTACTCTTTACCCAAAGTTTAATTTGTGACCGATGCGTAATTTTTAAAAAAATTAAATGAAATAATACCCAACAATCAAAAAAGACAACAACACAGATCCGAATCAAATTTCACGCGATTTGCCGACTTTAGATGAATCACTTTGAACAAATAAGAATGAACGATAAAGATTAAGATAATCAAATCGTACAATTCGATCTATCATAAACGAATAGATGGGAAAATTTATATAAAGAAACTACGTTGATGAATATAAATAAATCTTGGAGTATTTTAACCGATAGGAATAATGAATCATATAGTTAGATAAAAATGAGAATCTTGTTTATAAAATTGTCTAGGTTTCTATTCTATGATTTGAGTCTAATCAGCTTATGTGTATGGCTTAAACTACATCTGTTTTAAAGAAATGATATTCTCGATAAGACTTAAATTAGACTGTTAACCAATATCGTAATCAAAGTCCTTCATTATTGAACTGTTAGTCAATCATCACAAGTTGGAAAACAGAAAAGTTTTATACGAAGTATCACTTAACAACTTGAGGTGAAGTTAAAAGTGTCCCGTAACGTCTAAGCATTTAGTCTAAGAGATTCATTGCTTATCTGATCGATATGATATCATAAATACCAAAGAATAAAAATCATGATCATGTAAATTGTTTATTTAATGGAACAGTTCATCTTTGTTGATTGTATTTCAGGAGAACCTGATAATTGGTAGTTTTCTCATACAAGTAAATGCCCTGGTATGGCCAAGAGTGGGGTGGGCCCTCCCTTCCCCTTCGAAATGCTCTCACATGGTCACGCGTATATAGCCTCTGACAGGGAAGTCTTACTCACTGCATTCTCGTGGCGGGAGTGTTGTTTACGAAAATGAGAGGACGAAAAGCGAATGTCCGGCGCTTTGACCGGATTTCAAATCAATGGTGCACATGGGCTCCAGTATCCTGCGGGAACAAATGGCGTATGAACCAATCGTTGGTCACCGGCTGCCATGGGACTGCATCTCCTTAGGTCGCTTCACCGCCTTGTGGATCATACCTTCAGGTCGAAGGCTCCGGGTGTGGTCCCCTAAGAAAACCACTTGCTTCGGTCTGGATACACGGGCAGTATCACAGCCTACACACACAAATATGGTGTGGCGCATATATAGTTGGTGCCCTCTTGTACTAATATTTATGTGTTCAAATAACTAAATAAATAAATTTGACCAAGTCATTAAATGTTACACTTTGATAACCAACAAGTTAGTATTTTCCCCTTTGCTTACGTAAACATTTAACAGTTCGACTACTTTACTGTAGTTTTATTTTCTTACTGTTTGGTTTATTAATCAATAACCATTTTAGTCCTGACGTCATTATATAATCATTTAGCAATAGGATAGTAGATAAGATGTAATTTTTAATGTTTGATTATTCTATTGTTCTACAAGTACCAGAAAATAAATTATTAACATTTTTGGTTGATAAGTACAATTGTAAGTGTAAAGTGATCAGTGATTGGAACATAATATTATTCAGAACTGATTTCTCCTACCATTCTCTAATGAAATAAACGTTTATCGAATTAATCAAAACTGGAAATATAAACCAGTAAATGTGAACTCACATTGGGAAATGAAAGACCTGGTTTTGATCAACTACGTGGTGATAGGTGTGAACTTCTGAGGAGTCTCATAATAGGACAAAACAGATGTCTAGTGCACAATGCTTTCCAATGGTTGTTTAATTAAGATCAGTTTGTGTAGTAAAACTACAGAATATGTTTCGTTGTTCAATGTATACATGTGCTCGTTATTCATATCAAGAATTTAATGGTGAACAGTTAATGATATTTACAATGTTGGGTACTTTTTCCGAATGTCAACTGAAAATTATATCATAGATCGAACCTAGTTAGACAACCAATGAAAATTAGGAAGTACTGGATAGTTTTTTTCTTCCTAGTGTAGAACTCCTCGGAGGTGAGGACCCACTTCTCTCATAAGAGACCAAATTCAAGATTATCAGATTCCGTTGTGAACACTTATCTAGTAGACCATTGAACCAACTTTCAATGGTGTACAATTACAACGTACAATTAACTATTTTTTAGTGTCATTGCTGCGAGACCTGATGATCATGTTTTGGGTCCTTGTTAGAGTCTTAGATATTAACAGCCGAAATGCTCTGTATTAAGGCGAAACAACTCCCAGGGTTTACTAGTCATCAACTGTTATCTAAATAAGCTCTATCTATAAATAAACTACGAAATTCAACAACCTTCACAACTTCATGTGTCATAGTTACCAATTCTCAAAAACAACGAAACTAAATAAGGTAATTCATACAATGTACTTGTTATTGAACTTGAAGCTTTTAAAATCAGTTTTGTATGAGATCACATCCCAAAAGACGTTTCGATATATTTTCTTAAAACATTTTTCTTAGATACCAATAATTCAGGAATAACAAAGAATTCTATTCGATGTTTATTTATTTTTTTTCTGTATTTACTTGTTCAGTGTTTTCCAAAGATTGTAATTTCCATTCCATTTATGAATAAAATGACACTGATTTCACATAACGAGTGATGATTTCAGTCAATACAAAGTTTCATATATTTTAAAGCAACGCTAAAAAAATATCAGACGGGGTTTTGTGTATATCATATGCTCAATAAAGACTGGCTTCAAGAGGTATTTCCGGGAGTTCTAATGAAAAGCCGTGACCACTGAAGATCCACCGGGTCGGTTGTGAGATAGTAACTCACTGAACACAATGGTGGATGTATCGCTCAATTTCGTGGATTAATTGAAGTTAGTCAGTAATGCCGGCTCAGTGGTCTAGAGGTTGGGCGTTCGCGCGTAAGACTGATTGGTCCTGGGTTCGAGTCCTGCGGCGGGATCGTGAATGCGCACTGCCGAGGAGTTCCATAATATGACGAAACAGCTGTCCACTGCTTCCAGGTTTTCCATGGTGTTCTAGCTTCAGTTGACTTATGATCTCAACTATTAAAAAAATTAGATGATTTTAAGTTGATTACATAACTTATTGTTTATTTGAGTTCGTTTTAATCATGGAGATATGAATATTGTAATTGTATTTAAACTATAAATTTTACAGTAGGTTTCAACAGTATCCCCAATCTTTCATTTGAAGAAAATATGATTACGATTGAAACAGAGCGAATATTCACTCCGTATTAAAAACTGAATATATTTTAATTCTAGTGTTTATGTCTTTAATGTAGTCTAAATAAAGTACTTATCTCATTGAATAACAATGAATTATTTATGGAATAGTTAAACAAAGATAACCGTTAAAGTGTTCCACAAGTATATTATCTATTGATTATTATTTATTGTTACTGGGATGCATGATATGATCAATTACTATCATCACTAAACATCAGATCTATTAAAAAGGTGAGAGGCTATCAAAACCTTAAAAAAAACTTTCTAGAATTTCAAACCAGAAACAATAGGACAGCGTTATATTGTACTGAAAGCTTTGTGTAAAATATTGAATATGATTACTGAGCCATGTGTATGCATACACTTACTTACTTACTTACATCTAATTGAAAGAACTCATCTCTACCGATATCTTCCATTTACAATAATGAATCTTCATTATCATCTCATCATAAGTGAACTGTTATCAAATAAGTCAAACTTTTCACTGTCTGACAGACTAAAAACAAACAAACAAATTTGTTTCCATCAATAATCAATCAATCAAAATTTCACTGTATGAAATCATGAGTCAATTGAAGCTAGACCACCATGGAAAACCTGGAAGCACTGGACGGTCGTTTCGTCCTATTGTGGGACTCCTCAGCGGCTTCAACTGACTCATGATTTCAAACAGTGAAATTTCTATAGTCTCCATAAAACGTTTTCTGATAATAATCAATTAAAATGTTAAAAATACGGTCAAAATAACTTTTCAAAGTTACTTTCTTCTTTTAAATCTAAATAAAATTTGACATAAAGAATAATCCATTAAACAAAGATTACGTAACCTTTATATATATATATATATATATATATATATATATATATATATATATATATATATATATATATATATATATAATGAAACATTATACATAATGCAATCATGTAATAGGTCATTGTATCTCAGTACAATTTTTTGTTCTTATTTTGTCTAATGAATTACAAATAATACAACAGGTTATGTGTAACCAGTTTAAGTAACAGTTTCAATGTGTTCAATAAGAGAAATTTTATATGTTGTTGTGATTCGAAATGTTTGCCAGTTTGTTTGAAAGAAGCAAAATTATTATGTTTTGTTTTAATCAAACAAACAAAACAATATAATAAATTTGTTTACAATGAAGTGAGGTCATTTTAAAATTACCATAAGTGAATTGATTGGATGTGAAAGGATATTGTAATGAATCATCTTTGGAATGAACAATTGAAGGGAAATTATTATTATTCATATTATGAATAGAATCATTATTATTTATAAAAGAAATAGGTAAATTACTTATTGTATCAGAATATCTAGAATGTTCTATTGGATTAGTACTTTTATAATTTGATAATGTATCATTCAATTTATAAGTTGGATAATAATTAGTAATCAATTTATTAGTAGTATATGATGGTTCATTCAATGATTTTATATGATTATGAATTAATGGTTCAGTTTGTTCATTTCCAATGAAATGATTAAGTGATGTTTGAATTTGTATATTATTTTCTGTTGGTTGATAGCTAAAGTTTTATTTTCAAGAAAGAAAAAGAAAAGAACAAACAAAACAAACAATGAACATCTTGTAAATATCTGAATGAGAATGTATAAAGAGTCAAGCTAGATCATTATTGAAAACCTGAAAATATTGTATGGTCGTTTTGTTCTAGTATGGAACTTTTCGGCAATATACATCCATGATCTCGTAAGTGGAATGGATTGATTAAAGTTAAACATTAACACTGTTAGATGCCGGCTCAGATGTCTGAAGTTTAAGTGTTCATATGTGATACCTAAAGTTCTGGGTTCGAGTCTTGCATGTTTCAATATTGATTATTCAGTGTTATTTTCGCTTTATTTCGTTTTTTTAATCATCATAATATTCAATGCCAGTTCATTAGTTTCATAAAGTTTGTGAAGTTTATCTTACGCGTGATTCACACTTACTTACCTACTTACTTACCTACGCATGTTACTCCTCGTGAAGGAGCATAGGCCGCTCACCAGCATTCTCCATCCAACCCTGTCCTGGGCAATTCTTTCCATCTCCTCCCAGTTGTAATTCATTATTTTCATATCGGATTCTATTTCCTGACGTAATGTGTTCTTTGACCTTCCTCTTTTCCGCTTCCCTTAAGAATTCCAGGTTAGAGCTTGCCTCGTGATGCAGTTTGGTGATTTGCGTAATGTATGTCCTATCCATTTCCATCGTCTTATACTAATTTCCTCTTCAGCTGGAAACTGGTTTGTTCTCTACCACAGAAGGCTATTGCTGATGGTATCCGGCCAGTGGATGTTGAGTATCTTGCGTAGACAGTTATTAATAAATACTTGTACCTTCTTGATGGTGGTTGTTGTAGTTCTCCAAGTTTCAGCTCCATACAGTAGAACTCCCTTGACGTTCATATTGAAGATTCTGACTTTGATATTGGTTGATAGTTGTTTTGAGTTCCATATGTTCTTCAATTGTAGGAATGCTGTCCTTGCTTTGCCAATCCTCGCCTTTACGTCTTCGTCTGAACCTCCTTGTTCATCGATGATGCTTCCCAGGTATATGAAGGATTCTACATCTTCCAGAGTTTCGCCATCATGTGTGATTGGATTGCCGCTCTCCGTGTTGTATTTTAGGACCTTGGTTTTCCCCTTGTGTATGCTGAGGCCGTGATTCACAATTATATAACACATTTTCATTAAAGAATTCTTACTCACTTATGTTGAAGAATATCAAGGAAAAATGATTTACTTATAAGTAAACGAAAGTCATATGTATCATAAGCTAATGTCAGCTAAATAATTTTACACAATCCATCTAGCAAATACACACAAATATATAAGTTTCTTCGATATAACTTGAAATGTTGATGTATGGTTATAAAGGTAACTTACTGAAGAACACAGTTCTGTTCAAGTAAATTAGGCATCTCAGTAAAAGTTATGAAGACGATGAGAGATGAACAACTTTCTACCATTTATCTTGATAAAAATATTATGTGGGTGTTGTTTTTTTTCAGTACACCTTAGTCGCTAATTCACTGTCTGAATAATTTCTGATGAATAGAGTTTAAAATAATCATCTGTGTACGTTGTTCTAGATATGGAAACATTATGACGCAACTAAGGAGCTTTACATTTGATAACTTCTAGCGATTCTTTAGTTGATCGCAACAGGAATATGGCGAGTTTAGTACTACTCACTTAAACAAAATAATATAAAACTATACAAATGACCATTATCAAATGTTGTTTTACATTTGTTTTATTACTTCAACAACATATGTAATAAAAATGGCGTCAAATTTCAACTAGGAGACATTCGAAATGTATCACCTTTTGTATCAGTCATATAAACAAATAATGGAAATTCGCAAATTGTAAATTAGAATAACATATATAAGTAAAATGATGTGGCGGGAGGCGTCTGAGTGAAGACATACAAAAAGAAAATACCCATTTGATAATTATGTTCGGCATGTTTTTAAATTTGATAAGTTACACATAACTTTGATACAATCGTAACATAACAAGTCACAATTTTAAGTGATAAGTTTATTATCAGAAGGGGTTTTGTGAATATTATAGTAATTTCAATGGCTAAGATCATAAGTCAGTTGAACCTAGACCACCATGGAAAATCTGATGTCACTGGACGGCCGTTTCGTCCTACTGTGAGACTCCTCAGCAGTGTACATCCACGACCCCGCCCCTGCGGGATTCGAACCCAGGACCTACTGGTTCCACGCGCGGTCACCTAACCACTAGACCACCGATCCGACCGGCATCCAACTTCAACTAGTCCACGAAATTGAGCGACACATTCACCATTGTCATCAGTGAGTTACTATCTCACAACAGACCTGGTTGAACTCCACTGGTCACTACTTCTCACTAGAACTCCAGGATATGCATCTTGAAGCCAGTCACTAGTGAGCATATGTTGATTAATATCAGAAGGGGTTTTGTGGATATTATAGTAATTTCAATGGTTAAGATCACGAGTCAGTTGAAACTAGACCACCATGAAGGTCATGGATGCGCAGTGGTGAGAAGTCTTACAACAGGACGAAACGGCCGTCCAGTGCTTCCAGGTTTTCCATATTGGTCTATCTTCAACTGACTCATGATCTAAACTATTGAAATTGATAAGTTTAATTAAACACTTAAACATTTAAGATTATAGATGCTTATCGATATAAGTAGACTATGAAAATTACGTTTATCATGAATACATGACTTTAGTCCTCTATATAGTTAAATGCGAGATGAAAATTTGTTGTGTGACTGCAAATCAGATCATTCACACTGGAAAAGATGGGCTATGATTCGAGTTTACTACCAAAATGATTGGAAGGTTTGCGCAATCATCAACAAATACGTGTGTTTAAGGAATCAATTCTTTAGCTTATTATTTGCAATTTAGGACAAATTCATCCGGTTTAATCTTTTGACGCGAAGTCATTGGTTTATACGGTCAAAATGTTGCTCTGATTTTCAATGATTTTTGACGTTAGTAAATGTTGTCGACCAATATCTCAAAATAGGTTCCCGAAATTTTAAATCGATAGTCCAATTAGTGTAGAATAATCATGTCAAGGATAAGATGTTTATTACTAATGAAGTTGGATGTTAACAGCTATAATTGAATTTTGAAATATAAGCCACTGGGTACTGAACTAAAAGACCTAAGGTTAGTGTGCCCAACTAAAACAACTTTTTATGACCGGAGATCTGACTCCAATAGGATCGTATGTTAATCACTATTGAAATATACATATCGCCATTCCTTGTATATAATCATTGACTTAACTTGCATTAGTGTATAACGGAATTTAAAAAGTCAAGTACGGGAATGGAGTTCGAATGAGTATATTTTGTTCGATCGTTGCTCGGAACAAGCAATCAGGGAGACGTAAAGAAAGAAGTAAAGAAGAGAGAACGAAGCGAAACAACGCGCGGTGGAGAAAGCATATGAGCCAATTAAATTTAACCAAGCATTAATCGATATTTATAACCGAACAAAAATAAGTTACCGACATGTGATGAGTAAGATAAGAAATGATCACATACACTTACATGAAAACAGCCAAGGTTAATAAGTGAATAATCAACAAGGTCAAATTGTGGTTTAGGAAGAATAAAAAATTGCCCTGTATGATTTCAACAGTTGAGATCATGAGTCAACTGAAGCTAGACCATCATGGAAAACTTGGAATCACTGGACGACCGTTTCACCCTATTGTGCAACTCCTCAGCAGCGCGCATCCACGACCCCATTTCGCGAGATTCGAACTCGGGACCTATTAGTCTCGCACCAAGCGCTTAACCAACCAGACCACTGAGCCGGCTGACATCCAACGGTGTTAATGTCTAACTTCAATTAATCCATGAAACTGAGCGACACATCCACCATTGTCATCAATGAGTTACTACCTCACAACTGACCTATATGAGCAATATGAGCTTAACATAGCAACCAACACTACAAACTAAATACATTAGATTGAAATTATGTTGCATGTTAGGTAAACACACTATTTAAGAGTTTCAATCTAATTCATGATGAATTACCTTCATTAAATAAATATTTATGTTAAATATTATACACTTACCCATTTAATAATTCTTCATTAGTTGGCATTAATTGATCATAAAATCTTAAATCTGTTTCATGAAATGTATACGGTAGTGTCATAGATGTTGTTTGTTCATAAAAGGTTGGTAAATAATTATTATTATTATTATTTTGTTCAAATGTATTCACAATATCTATACAATCAAAGGGATAATTGATTGATTTACTAGGCAATGTAACATTAATTATATCTGGTGGAGATTTTTCTACTAAATTAGTATGATAACTATGTGTATTCTCATTATATGCAGTGATTGGTTTAGTTGTAACCGTAGGTTTATGATTAAATACATTACAATTATTATTATTATTATTATTACGTGATATAGTAAATATAACAGAGATTAATACTGTACATATAATAAAAGTAATTAATATAATACAAATAATGATAAATTTATTTGTATCCATGTTAAAATATGTTAAGAATGTTGTAGATAATTGTTCATTAGATGAATCATATTGATTTATTGTACTCAAACGGAATATATTAGTTGGTTTATCAGAAATTTTTATAAAAATTGTTGTTGTTGTTGTTTTAGGTATTAATCCCATATCTGTAGCCAATATGATCAATGGTATAGTTCCCTAATTAATAAGAATTAAAAACAAAATGTTAAATGAGTTATTCACGTAAAAAGGCACATTGATGGAATGAAATGAAAATCATCTACCTGAGATATAAATCTTCACCATCATCTTAAAAATTAAATTATACAATGTCAAAAGATATTTGAGAATATCTTGTATCTTTACTTGTATCTTTCTATTGAAAAGAGCAAGAACAAACATTTTAGCAGAATAGTATGAATTCTTTTTTTATTTCGTTGGTTCTCGTCATAGCGAAAGAATATTAGTCACCAAGGCAAGGAAAGATTCAGAACCATCTTCTTTTTTGAACACATAAATCAGGTTTTTGGCATCTGATAGCAACTGCTTCAGCAAACTTCAGAAGACTGGAGTTTGGCTGCTTACTAATCACTTTGAATGATTGCACGGTATCGACCTGATGTCCTGTATCAAGGAGATGTTTAGTGATTGTACTATTTAGAGTTGTTCTTTCTCTTGGTCTGAAGTTTTTTCGAACATGTTCACAAAATCTGAGATATGCCCTCATTTCTGTTCGACCAGTGTAGCTGCTTTGGCAGGTATACGTGAATTTATAAATACAATTGGCGGTAACATGAAAAGGATGCTTATCAACTTTTGATTGAGTTATTGAACATGTTGTTTTATACAGAATTAGAAGTTTGACCGCCGGACAAGTTCTGGCTAGCGTAGTATTCAGTCTCCTGTTGACTGTGTTTGCAACATCATCACCTTTGAAATTGAGATTTATGACATTTGTTGATGCGTCTTAAGTTTTTGGACGATGGTGGAAGTTTACAAGAACGCAAAGATCTTACAAACAGGCGCGGGACGTGAGACATTCTCCGTAAAACTTGACTCTTGTCACTTCTCTTGATATTCTACAGCGTAGTGTCACGAAGTGGTTCAGTGACCTAAATAACTGTTCAGGGAGGCGTTTTTTGATAAATTTCATACACATAGTTCCCTCTATCTTTCTATTGTTATTTAGGATTGAATATCAACCCTAAGATAGAGGTATATTCAGTCGACGAGTCTCAAATAGGACGAAACACTCATCATGGGTTTCACTGCTAGCCATTATTTATCTTTGTTTAAAAAGTGTAAGTGTTTTAGACAGCATCATTAACACACATATTTATGATGTTATGAATTTTTCATGATTAAATTATCCAGTTTTGAGATGATTTCATTACACTAACAATTATCTGGATAATTCAAAACACGTCAGATATATTGTTGATCCTTATCAAAGTCTTGACTTGACTTTTAAAATATTTCGTTAGCTATGGTACAAATGAGAAATTCATCGACTAACTACAGAATAAGTATACTATGTAACAGTATAAAATGATATATTCTATTATATGCAGGCGCTAATGATGTTATTTCAATGAACTTGATGAAAGCGTAATAATTGAAACAGTTCAGAGAATGTAACATTACCAGATGGTAGCCACTAGAATGTAGTGTAAGAAACATCTGAAATGCTGTCCGAAAATCTCTGATTTCAAACTACTCACAAAAAATACTCCCATTATGTGAATTTCATTTTGCCACATTAAATACAAATAACCTGAAAATACAACAACTAATTTATTACTGAGATAATTATATTGGAAAATGTCGAATAAATCCGACGACAATTGTTGTAGACTACATTTTTTCTTCTCAAAGTAATAAAATCAACATTTTCTGGAGGGCTCATTTGGAAGTATGATTTTGTTTCAGATAACTGATATTGATAAGAATATCGATTACCCCATTCAAACTTAGTAACAATTACTAGTGACTAATATGTGTTTGAATAACACTGAGAACCATTCCTTTAAAGATTCCAAACATAACTTTCCGACTAGCATAAAATCTATGTCTGATACTTCCTTCCAACAGCCTTCAACGGCTTCATACCTTGCACGAGATGTTGAATTTTGACTGCAGTAGGATATGATCAATAAAACTAATAATAAGCACTAAAAATATACAACATTGATCAATCGGCTGAGAGATTCTATAGAAGGTAAGTCTTAATGGAAGATTCTTTGAATGTAATATGGGATGACGTAAGTTGTAATCTCATAGAAAGTATCAGTTTGCTCAAAATTACGGATACACCTTCATGATAAGTACCTACTAGGTAAGGTAAGGTTGTAGTGGTTGGTAATATGTCAATTCCAAATAGGTTATTCCGGCTTCTGGATAAATAAATTTATTCGTTCACATTTTGATCTTTTTACTTATTCGCTTATTAACCCTGACGGCTTTTATATGATCGTATGTGAGTTAATTGCTTGCCTTATTCTTGACGTGTCTGTAACTTATTTTTGGTCTGACTATAAATGTCGAGTTGTGCTTGGTCCAATCGAGTTGGCTCACTCGCCTTTGCCACTGAGCGTCGCTTTCCCAACTATATTAACCTCCTCGTTTCCTTCCACTTCGTTTTGTTTCTCTGATTGCCTGTCTAGATCAACGAATGTATGAAAAATACATATCGAAAATTCATTCTCGTATTTGGTTTATCTTATTCCGTTATTCTTTAAAGCGAATTAAGTCAATAAAAACATACGAGGGTTGGCAGCATTTATATTTCGATAACAATTAGCACATGATCTAACTGGAGTGAGATATAGGGCCACCAAAAGTTACTTGTCAATCGCCTTATGCCATATAGTGAAACACTTATGAACTCTTAATTCAACAGAGTATTATTCTGATTTATTACATTCCATATTAGTTTTTTACTTCCTTCGTAGATGTGAAATGTCTGCTCTTATGACTACAAGGATTTTGTATGATACAACATAAATACCCCTACAGAATACTTATATTTTAGCAGTCCTTCATAAAATAAATATAACCCAGAAGCTTTTCATCATAAATATGTATGACAAAAAACACTAAATTGACTATTACATTTGTATTCTTTGTCCTGTTTACATAATGATTCCAGCCCATGTTTTAGTATTGAACAGTTAAATATAATTTTTTATTACTGAAAATAAACTTGGAAATGTTAAAGTTAAACTGACTTGGATAAATGATACCAAACTTTCAAGTTATTATAAAACTTGTATAAATAAATATCTGCCATAATAAGCAAAGATGGATTGTAGCTAGCACTGGAATCCAGAATGCTCGTTTTATCCTATTTGGGACTCATCAGCTGGATGTACCTGCATCCTAGATTCGACGTTCACTTCGGAACTAGGATCCAGTACCGCTTACTTCAAATGCCATCGCGTTATTTACTTACCTACTGAGTCCTGATAGCCACCACCTTGTTCAATGGGGTGAAGTTATATTCACTTCGTGTTGCTTACTTGTATCTTCCCATTGTTATTTAATACTGCAATTGATCAGTCTCTTATGTGCCTCGATATTGCCATAAAACACAGGATACGCGTCCTAGATTCCACCACTAGGCACTATATATCTATGCTTAAAAAGCTTGCGAATTAAGGCTAGATCGAGGCAGTCCTCACAGAATGCACATATGTCAACAAGTGACTGATCAATTTCAGTCCTAAACAACAATGAGAAGATACAAGCAAACAATACCAAATGAGTCTGTCATAATACTTCTTATCTATCTATCATAGACATGTATAATAAAGTGCGATCCGGAATGTTGAAGGAAGTACACAAGGACAATATGAACTACACCTTTAAATAATATCTTTAGTGAAAATTACACTTCAATATGTATTACTTACCAACCAAATAGGTAATGTAATAACTAAAAGTGTTTAATTATAATATACTTAATACACATCATGAATATTTACAATTCAGGGGGGGGAAACCAAATTCCAGCTAACTTACTATATCTTTAATGGATAATTCTTTTTGTAAGAATATTTCTCCAGTATTTTCTCTTATCATAAACATTGAATTGATAGATTGTTTATGATTGAATGAAAATGTAATTTTTCCATTTGCACCAATATCTTTATCGATTGCTTCAACTTTTTCTATTAAATGACCTGGGACATCATTATATGATATTTCCACCTAATAAATAAATAAATTGAATTCTCTTTTTAAAAGGATATTTTAATAACAGAAGGGTTTTCTGTGAATATTATGTTAATTTCAATAGTTGGGATCATGAGTCAATTGAAGCTAAACAACCGTGGAAAACCTGCAAGCACCGGACGGACGTTTCGTCCCAGTGTAGGACTCCTCAGCAGTGCTTATCCACGATCCCGCCTCGCGAGACTCGAACCCAGGACCTATTATAGACCTATAGAGTTCAACCGAGTTTGTTGTGAGATAGTAATTCACTGAAGATAATGGTGAATATGTCACTCAAATTCATGGATTGGTTGAAGCTAGACATTAACACTGTTGGATGCCGGCCAGCTCAGTGGCCTAGAGATTAAGCGCTCACACGCGAGACCGATATGTCCTGGGTTCGAGTCCTGCGAGGCGGCCGTCCGGTGCTTCCAGATTTTCCACAGTGGTCTAACTTCAATTGACTCATGATCTCAACCATTGAAATAAAGACATTTTAATACTAAAATTGGACTCATAAACTATTGTCTTTTAATCCTACTCAATAAAATTCATTGAGTTTAACATTAATTAATCAAATAAAATTTAGTTTCCAAATGGATGTTACCTATTTATCTTGTTATAAACTTGTTACTGTGGACACTTTAACTATTCCGTTCAATTTTTAAACTGTTTTGAAATATCCAATTGACTCATTTCATACATAAATATGAAAATAAATTGAAATAGACAGTTTATTCATTGTCAAAATTGATCATTATTGATCAGGAAGAGAAATGTAATCCATTTTTAATTGAAGAGATCAGGATAAATTTATACTAAAGGTGTAATTGACAAATAAAAATAAATCAGTCAGTTTTGTTTCAAATGGCTATTTTCTTAGATTCATCGATTGAAAACTGGAAATAATATACCAGGGTGATAGACCTTCCACAATAAAGATGAAGACTGTTCAGCAAGGTTAAAATTAAAAAGTAAATGGTACCAGCGATCTTAACAGGTGACTGCCAATATTTCTAAAAGAAATACCTATACACCTGAGCTCGGGATATTATTTCCAAATCGATCGGCGATGCTGACTATGTGTTGAAGATGGACTATTACTTGGGTCGCCTGAAGGGCAATGCACTAGTTTACCTGACTTTGTATAGTAGGTTATATCAGCCATATAAGGCATGCTATTTCTAGGTAGTTCTTCAAACTTTACCCTGCCTGGTTACTCAGAAGTGAATATGTGAAAAACAACAGCTTATTTTTTGAACACATCCTAAACATTAACCATATGATCTTGTCAAAAATATTCTTTAAAGTCTTCTGTAAGTTTTGGCTAATCAGCTCACAAAACTATGTGTTTATCTAAAAACAATTATTCTTACCTCATTAGTCCCATTATCAAACGGTGGTCTTTGAAATATTGGTTCATTATCATTAATATCTAAGATGGTCACATGAACTTGTGCTGTAGCTGTAAGTTGCTTTTCCGGTGTTTGTGGATTGTCAGTAGCTAGAACTTGAAGTAAAAAGGCTGGATGTGTTTCACGATCAATACTTTTTGTTGTTTTTACATAACCATCTTTTGTTACCTAAATGTATTAGAATGTAGAAAAGTTTTTTGTTTACTTGAAAAATCTATCCTCAATAAGATAAATTCCACAAACAATAATGAACAGATGAAAAAAACATGACGATTAAACTACTTTAATATTTATCTTTTAGCTAACGGATTCTGAACTTCATAAAGAGCAGTATAATTATAAATCAACATTTCCAGTCACAGATGGGTTAGGTAGAAATGTTTTTACTCCAGAGTTTGATGAATACTAGGTGGTGGTTGGAGGTAGTCAACAGGAAACTCTGGACCCGGGTTTCGTGCTACTTGATACTCGTCAGTAAGGTGTACCTGTAATCTTGAGGGAACTGATGCTCCCTAATGGGTTCGATCCCTTGTCACCCAGCTTCACAGTCAGAGACGTTATCACTGAGCTATCCGAGCCACGACCGACTCTTTGTAGGACTGAGATGTATTTGCAATTGATTGATCAATGTCGAGTCACCTAGACTAGTAGCCATATTGTAACTCAGTCGATAGGATTCGATCTGCACTAAGAAAGATCTGACATGCATGACATTGATCACTACTCAGTGATCAATCAATTGCAAACAAATTTGGTAAGACATTGACTCGTCAGCTCTTAGAAATGATCAACTCTTCAATTCCTAACAATAAGCAGGAAGTATGGGAAGAAGCTTTATCATGAAGGTTAATTTACGTACAGAAAATGAGAATATTTATAAAACCATATATTACTTTGAAATTACGGAAGTTTATGAAGAGCATGTTCTTGTCCTGATACACATGACATTGATCACCACCCAGTGATCAATCAATTGTGTTTGGTGAATACTGTTGCTTAGTCAAAAGTATCTTATTGGCCAATGTGTTCTGCTATTGGACCAATTATCTCAAATCATTTAATGGCAGTATAATTTAATATTTGATAATTATAAGGAATCCACAGAAAGCTCTAAATCTCAAGGTGTGATAGAATTCAATAATCACTACGATCTAAACATAATCATGATTAGCGTCATGTTGTAATTTACATTCCTTAAAATTAGTCACCAATATGCTTACTAGTAACTCAACTGTTTTATAAGTCACCTTCAAGGATAGACTTGATTATTAAGCAATCGATAAGTGGTTAACATTCCATGTACCTAAATTAATGGCTGCTCTGGTTGTCAGCCTCGTGACTTCCGAAGGAACTCAGCTTTTACCATGAGGCGTCATAACTCTTCTCACTGAAGACCTTTTGACTCCCAGGGCAGAGTTTAAATGGCTTGAATTATTTTTTCTGGTTAGCTTTTTTAGAGAATCAGTTTTCTGCGGGATGGGGTCGCCAACCCCTTGCCTAACCCTCCTCCTTTATCCGGGCTTGGGAACGGCAGTGTCCCCAAGAGGGGCCCCACGTGGAAGTAAACAGGACACACATTGAGGAAAGCACACAGCTGCGTCGCAATGCAAGCCCTCACATGGAATCCTCAAGGTTGATGGAGAAGCGGAAGACCAAAGAACACATTACACCGAGAAATGGAGATAGACATGAGAAGAATGAACAATAATTCGGTAGAACTAGAAAGGAAGGCACAGGACAGTGTGAGTTGAAGAATGGTGGTTAGCGGCCTATATTCCATTGGGGTTAACAGGCGTAAGTAAGTAAGAGTAGAAGTAAGGTGATTAACATTATAATAATGATATATCCCAATGAGTAGAAATTAAAATTTCTGATGTTTTGTGACTTAATACTAGCCACTTATACAGAATGAATAAATAAATAACTGAATTATAATAATAAAAGTTTAAATAGTATCGAGGAACGAGGCAGAATATTTAGTTCAATCAAAACAGGTCCAATTATGTTGATGTTATATAAGTTTGATCAAGGTGATTCTGTGTGAGACATTACTATGTGCACTTGCATGTATGCTGGTGAGTGTGTGAAGTGTGACATTTACAATGTGAGTAAGTATATTCCTGCGTATATTTATCAAACATGTCAAAAATGAATAGAATTAAATAAAGCTGTTTGTACCAACTGTCCAAGTTAGATGAATAGTCAGGCTTTCCTTAGTATTGACGATAAAAAGATTTACCATTATATGAAACATATCAGTTATTCACCTTTATTGACGATTGGAAAAACCTTTATAATCCTGATATTTTCAGTATAGATATGATAGTTTTTAGAAATATCTTGTACTACAACTTTCGTTTCGATTTATGAATTTTCCAGTTCTATCAGTTCTAGGTCATTTTACTTAACTTAAGATGTTGGATATCAATAATCTACAAAATGTGTAACATGTTTCAAAGATCTAATTCGTCGGGAAGATTGACTTTGCAGTTGTGAACCGAAAATAATCCCAAATGGATTAGAAAATTGATTTGCTTTTTTTTTTAAGAAAAACAGTGAACAGAACACCAGTGAGGACAATTGAATGTATTTGACACGAAATTACAAAGCATCTCGATAAAATCTGAGAATCATATAGTAAATCGTTAATTTGCAAAATATCAATCCATCATATCAAACTTGACTGTTCCTGTTGCAAACATCAATCCATTGTCTCAGATTTCATTGTTCATGCGTTTTCATACCAATTGTGTTCCGTTCCTGTTCTTTCCTCATCGAACTTCTACTGAAATAGATTCTATGCCTGACCACCGTTATGTACTACTTGTGTAGATATAAGTAATCCACACCACAACTAATTTCTACGAATTCCTATATAGAACAACTTTCAAGTTTCTACAGTTTGTTCCTTAATAAATTATAATAAAAAATTTACTATATACTTTCGTCACTTGTATTCATGATATATCTACTTCATAAATATTTTAGACAAGAACCGTTTTCCCAAAGAAAATTATGATAAAAATGTATGTTAACTAGAGTTTATACGCAAATATCAACCTACTCTGAGAGAGAGAGAGAGGGGGGGTGAATATCTCTACGAATGAATATGCTACTAATAGACTTCATTAGCTGAATAATATGTTGTTTGCCAGTTTTAATTACATTAATCTGTAACGTGTTGTTGAACCAGCACGCACACTTACACACATCCATTTTATAAATTATGTGATATAAAAATCTTTTTTAAAGCAATTAATCCCTTCTATGAATTTCAATAGAGCAATGGGAATTTTCTTTAAATTTCCTATTACAGTTAATCAATGTCAAGTAAATCTAAGTGATTAGAACTCTGTCTATGACCTGTCAATTTTAAATATCTATATTTTATAGGAGTTCAATCTCAGCCAGAATAGGTTAGTGATAAGTTCACACAGTGACACAGGTTCGAATCCCATAGAGATCATTTGTGTCCTCAGGTTTATGGGTACACGTTGTTGATAAGTATTAAACACAACAAGAACTAGGTTCAAGATGTCGTGTTGACCACTTACGATCACCTAACATCTCAGGATTAGTTTTTTTAAAAAAACGAAAAATAAAATTTTCTCCTTCACTGCATTCAATAGCCTCTTCAAGAATAACTTGACAAAGGACAATGAAAGTTGATTACATCTTTTATTCTGTAACATGTAGTAAATTAAACATAGATCTAGAATTGACATCCGCGATTCCAAAACTTAGTTTTATCCCCAAAACCAGTGTGTCTTTATATTAGGATAATATCGGATAGACAATGAAAATTAGAGAGTACTTAATTGTCATTTCTTCCTATCAGTGCGTGTACCCACAAATATATAAGGGATCAAACGTAAGTTCTTAAATTCTCAAGGTAAGTACGTTGCATTTAGAACACTCAGTCGAAATTAGACGGTCAAGACCATAAAGCTATATAAAGGAACAGTTAACCTATCTTATTTTTGATTTCTGTTTCATCTTGAAAAAGGCTAAACTCCAGTAGTCACGAATTCTTAACGCCTCGAAAACTATTCTAACATACATGACAACTAATTTTCAGGTTAACAACTTAGCAGATAGGTATACTATACAAGATTGAAACTACACTGATGATGATCTAGTCACAAAATGAACTATTCACACTGAACCAACTGTTTGTAATGTGTATACAATATGATAAATGCTTTATATGTATATTTACATTCTATTTTCATGTATTCCCGTGAAACACGTTCATATCTGTCTATAATCGTTTTCAATCATCAAGCATTACGAAAGGTAAATTTGAAGTGATTTTATATTCTATTACGTGTCAACAATATATACCATCATAAAGTATTCTATCACTTCACATGACAGCTGAGGTCATCCATGATGTTTTCAAAAGTAAAATGGTGTTTTATACACAGTATTTCCTGATATGTTCCATTTCATTAAATTTATGATTGCTAGTTATCAAAATATAATCGTCACCAGAGATTTCGTTTTATCCTGTATGTTGTTGTGCTGTACACTAACACATTCATAGAACATGATAGCTGACAACGGTAGACGTTTAATATGTAATGAAAAGGGAAAAAAATACCTTGATAGTATTTGATAAAACATTCTACTTGAACATTGAGAACGTAATAGATAACCAAGGAATTAATGAGTTAATTAGTGTTATTCAAATGAAATAAAATGGAATAATATAAGTTTTACCAACTTGAAATGGATGATCCATTTTATAATTTATAGTAGTATCAAGTGAATAGATTAATTGAGCATTCAAACCAATATCACAATCAGTTGCTTTCACTTGACCAATTACATATGATTCTATTGTATAATTCATTTCTAATTCTTCATCTAATGAAAAATGATAATTGACTTGTGTAAATATTGGATGACAATCATTAATATCAATTAAAGCAATTTCTACATGTGTTGATCCAGATAATCGTGGTTCACCATTATCATATGCATTTACCTATAGAATCAATGAGGAAATTTGAAAGAAAAAGTTAATCATTCACTGATTACATAATAAATTGTTAATCAGTCAAGAGGAATTTTTTTCTTTGAGCTGGATAGTTTAGTCGTGGAGCTTTCATTGTTATTTTGAACAACATCATCAGTACAAACTTCAGGTAGAAGTGAAGTATTCGAATTTCTCCACAGCTTATTCTGTAGACCAAAATCATCCATCTGAGCTACAAATGTTCTCCACCATCTCAGAAAATTTTATGATGGTTTCATTCTAGATAAAACTCATTCACAGTGTATGCTAATGAGTAAGCATATTATAATGTACATGATGGTATTCAACATATGAAATGAACTGACCGAATTTCAAGTTTTTGGATTTCATTTAATGATCCAGTTGAATAGTATTCTAATATCCTGTGTTAAGATCGGAAATGAAATCTGTGGAAATAATTCTAATGACACAATCTGAAATCTTCAGTCATCATGTATTATATACAGTTAAATATACTTTTTAAAGTTTACTCTCATTGCTTGGATTATATTATGTTAAATCAAACAATTTTATTCCAAATATTTTTTGGCTAACGTGTTTGAAAACAGCCGGTAGATTTCAAAACACATGACTGAATTCTTGGTGTTTTTTACGTGTATCTTCCCATTGTTATTTAGGACTGCAATAAATCAGTCTCTTATTGGTATATACTGATAATTACCATTTGCTCACTAGTGACTAGCTTCGTGAACAAATTCTTGGAGTTCTGGTGAGAAGCCTTGATCAGTGGAGCTAATCCGTGTCGGGTAGAAACAGATGTCTACCTCAGTACAATGGAAGGCGGTTGTGCAACTTCGTGGATTGGTTGAGGTTATACATTAACACCATTTGATGCCGGCTCAGTGGTCCAGTAGGATAAGCGTCCGCAAGCGAGACTGAAGGCCCTGGGTTCGAATCCCGCAGGCAGGATCGTGGATGCGCACTGTTGGGGGAGTCCCATGATAGGTTCATGACCTCAATCAAAACTTAACAATCTCCACAACCCCTAAACTAATACTTTCAAATAACACTATTATTATTGATGATGATGATAATGTGGAGTTACTGGAGTGGAAGTAGCTGGAAACTAGGTGAGTTGTGTTAAAATTAGGCATGGATTTCATCAACATTAGGGTGTAAGCATACTCAGTTGGTGAGTTCTATATAGGACGAAACATGTTTCCTTGATTATTGTTAGCAACGAACTTTTGTTGAGATTGCTTAGTTCATAGTTAATGGTTATGAAATGACTCAGGCTAAATCATCATTGAAAACCAGTATGAAAGTGCATGTCTGTATTCTTCCATGACGCCATTACATATCAAACCCAAGGCTTTTATGCTTCTATAGAGGTATTTGAACAAACTGAAATGAAGTATACAAATGAATTAGGACTATACGTATTTTTGAAGTGTTTCTTTGATATTTCAGATGTTTCAGAGAATAAACAATCAGATGACTACTAAATGTCAATTTATTAACGACGAACTGTTTTTCTTTGTGTAGATTTATGTGATATTAAGTATATAAATTTCAACAGAGTAATAGAAATTCGAAGATGAACTACAAATCGTTATGACATGTATTTCATATATTACATGTTTTGATTAGTGTGATGACATAGATTTTCACTTGTCAACGAGTTTTATACAGAAACTAAAAGTATACCAGTGAATGATGACAAACCATTGAAAATCTAGGAAATAAAGAAAAAATTACAAATCTCCACGGTACCTCTGACACTGAATATGCATTAAAAGTTACTAGGACAGGTTTAGGATTAGAACAGTTTATTTAAAACTAACACAGGGGTTTGTAGATATTATAGAATTCTCATCGTTAGCATCATGAACTGATTACTGAAAACAAGGAAGCAATGGACAGCCGTTTCCTTCTAGCATAAGACTATTGAGTAACTTTGAGAGATGACTCTAGAAGAAGCTGTGACCAGTGAAGTTCAGTCACATCGGTTATGTAACAACTACCCATTGCAAAAACGGTTCATCGTGCAACTTATCGAATCGATTGTGGTTAGACATGTACACTACTAGATTTCAGCTCATCGGTATAAACATTAAGTCTTCTCAATAAGACCTGGAGGCTCTGGGTTTGGTCACCGGTAAAGTCATGGAGGTACGCTGTTGATAGGTCCCATACAAGAACGAAACACTTGTCCAGTGCTTCCTGGTTTCCAATAGTTGTTTAACTAAGATCACACCATTGTGTAAACTGCGGACATTTAAAACTCCTTTTTATGATGACTACATCTTTCTCAGACATTTGAATACAACTTTGACAATTCCTACATCAACGTTGAAGCCATTCCTCTTTAAATTCTGTCATCGTCATCTGAAACATGAAATTATTTCTCTTTATGTAAGTGTACAAAAATATAAACAGATAAACCCACTGGAGTACGACATGTCTATTTATATGATGTTGAAGTTTATGTGCAATCATTAGTTCTCTCTGTCATAGTGGTGAAAAGTTTAAATGAATGATTTATTTTCCTGATAGCAATTTCAGTCATCTGTCTCGTGAATAAGTTGTTTAACTCATCGTTGTGTGTTGGAGTGAGGTTTTAGATGTTACTACATGAATTATGAGTCCATCAATGAATATACACTTAGCGTTAGTGTATCAATAAGAAGCTTAACATTTTCTAAATCCATGTTACATGTTGGTAAGTCATATAACCTTAAAGTAGGTTTACTTTAAGAGCATAACTGATATAGTTTGTAGTTTGCGTGACGTATTGACTGTAACTCAATAAACATTAAAAACCAGTAAACTCTAGATAATTGCTTCATTCTAGTATAAAATCATCTGAAGTGAGTATACACAATTCTACGAGAGATTAAACCTTTCAATCCTCCCTGCAAGTATTTAACATTCAAACTAAATAGCTAATATCCAGTGGTTTCCATTTTTAATTTTCATTAAACAGTTAGTAAAAATTTAGTAGATGAATTTATGAGTCAATTGAAGCTGGACTACCATTGAAAACCTGGAAGCCTTAAATGGTTGTTTCGTCCTAGTATGGAACTCTTCATCAGTAGGCATTTGCAATAGTAAAACGTTGATCTATTCATCTAGTTACAATACAAATAATTGTTTAAATTAAATCATGTTGTTTAATGTTTTAGTAACCATCAACACAAAATGTTTAACGTAACAAAAATACACTTAAACAACAACAACAAAAGAACATAAACAATCATTCTATGTCTCAATTTCAATTCCTACAGTTAATGTACAATCACAAACATTTAAGTTGTACAAAAAGAATTCGATAAAGTACATGGGGATATTTCCTTTCTAAAATCCTATACATATCTCAATCTAAATAGATCAGATTGATATATCATGTTTGCTTGTTTGTTTGTTTGTTTGTTTTAATTCACTAATCTAGCATTGATCACAACCGGTAGGATTAAAAAACAAGACATCCTTAAATGGTAAAGAATTCTAAATACATTTAAAAGAGAAGAAAAAAAATTACCCTCATCCATTAGGTATAATGAATAAAATGAATGTTACGTAGTACAAGTAAAGTATTGAATGTTTCGATCGAAAACAATTAATGACACTAAATTGTTAACATCACCTCAAAGTACGAATAACAAAATGCTTAGTTTAATTAATCAGTAATGAACAAAATAACTATGATGACAGTCAAGGTTTATAGATTTTCACTTATAACATGATAAAACATACGGAAATAATAATAATAATACTAACACTATTGTGGTGTCGGCTGCTTATATCGACATGAGTAGTATATAATGATAGTCAGGATTAGAATGTCGTAAGGAAAGAACGGGAACAAAAAGTAATTGGTGTGAAAATGCAAGAACCATGAAGTCTAAGACGACTGACTGATATTTGAAAAGGAAACAGTCAATATTGAGACAATTGACTGATATTTTGCAAATGAAGTATTCACTGTATGGTTCTCAGATGTTCTGTAAGTTTGTTATCAAGTATGTTTGATTGTTTCCACTTGTTCTCTTTCACTACACTACTACTACTACTACTAGTATTACTAATAATAATAATAGTAATATTTTGGGTTGGTCTTTGACATTGTCATAAAACCTTACCTGATTAAGGTTTCTTGTTGATGAATAACCTATTTCAAGATTACTTTTTGTATAAGTCTTTTAATCAGATTAAATAAAAAGCTACGCAGTTGTGTTACCCAATAACAATTAGTATATAGTACACAAGATTATATTGGCCAACTACTGAAATCAATTACAAAATGTTTTTGTTATTTCCTAGTGAAGATTGAATTACGAGTAACTTCCGAGATCTATTAATGGACTAATATTATGTATAAATATATACATATATAGCTATTGTATAACTATTCAGTAACTAGATTGTGTATATCTATATTCCTCTTACTATAAGCGTCATTTTGACCTATAGATCATTATTATATGATTTACTCTTCCTAAATTATGTTCAGTTTATTAATTACAGTCTCCCATATTCATAGCCACTTTTTTGGCTTGATCTTGCATAAATGTTGTTTCCTATTTTATGGTGTGATGAGGTCTGTTTGACTGGTATATAAACCAGGTATGTTTGAAATAAATGATTCGCATAGTGGAAGTCGGTATTGGCGTTCTGGACTCAACTGACAGGGCTAGGAGGGAGAAGGACCAATAAAGATGTTAGGCTGATCATACCGGTCGAACGTCATTGGTTTGGCACAGTGATAAGACTGAATAGGTCACATTTCGATTGGCGAATAAATCACGTGACAACTAGTCAGACCTAAAGACACAACAGTTTTGTTTTACAGATAGAAAATGTAATCAGTTATAGTTTTACTTTGGTGTTCCTATCATGAAGGGATATCATGCTACGTAAATCTATTCATTATCGATGTGTTTCAGACTCATATTTCGCGTCATAAAAATGTCATTCCTAATCTTAATTGATTTCTGTATAAAAACAAACACATTTTATGAGACCTAGTATTCTGTCGTCGATTTGGCTAAGAAAATACTCATAAGTAGAAACCGTACAAGCTGAAAAAAAAGATTAAAAACGTGCACCCCATTATATAATTTAGATGAACATTTCAATACTCTATAAACTAGTATCTCGTTTTCATCATCCATGGCACTTTTAGCGTGCATATCATGATAATTGATGCTTTTACAGCTGCAATATTCGTAAGGTAAATTAAATCGACCTGGGTCTTTTACTAGATCATCCTAACACTATTTCGTGCTCTAATTGTAGCCTCTACCTTGATATGGTGTCTCGGCTTACCTGTGGTAATGAACTACGTGAGCTACATTGGCTGTATTGTTCTTTTTGTTCCCATCGTATCAGAAAGGTCGGTTTGAGAACGTTGGGATCAAGCAACAACTTAGGTTCTGACAACTAGGTTGTACCACTGGCTTTACAGAAGTGTGAAAGTAGTGAAAAGTTCCTCCGAGATAACCATCATCCCCACTGATACTACCTTTCTACTAAGGAAGCCTGAGGTTAAACAAGATCGGGATACCTTAAGTAACCCAAGAGATTTAGGTCGTCGGTAGTAACATCTTTAAAAAGCAGAGCTAACACATCGAGGACTATGGGATTAAGGTAGTGTGTATCTGGCTGAAAGTGAGTTTTCCTTAGACTCTTTAAACACACTCCTAGGTCAACAAGACCGCTACTAATCTAGTTTCCTGTACAATAATGTTAAGAGAAAACATTCTTCCATGGTTTGGGCAACTACGAAGTGAAACTGTTCACATTCCTATGATTGCACTCAAGATCTCTTCAATCATACACTTTTATGTCGAAATGTCTTTGAAGATCTGAGTACAGTCTCAAGTGAGATCGTAGGTTACTCACTACTGATCATTTCTAAGCTGCAACAGAACAATCAGGCAGTACTCTACGATGGAGGAAACTATGAATGCGAGTTTGACAGGGAAATTTTTTGGAATTAATTAATCGATGAAATCCAGGTAATGTCACGGAATCTGCAATTAATAGACACATAGACTATTTATCAATTTATGGGATGAAGGCCAACTAATAACATGATCAAAGGTCAGCAAAAAGGCAGTCAGTAGTCATACAAAGATAGGTGAACTGGACAAAACTTCAAAGACAACTGTTTATAGGTACAATCATTAAAAAGCCGTTGAATTAGCACTTGTAGAATAGTAAAAACGTTCATTTCTATCTGTAGGAATGCTTGATGGAACTGTTGTCAAGAAGAAGAATAATGAAAGCTTTGAAATTAAACTAAACAGTCAACAAAACACAATATGACCAAACATTGTTCAACTTTTCAGATGATATCAGCACATAATGATAAAAACAGTCATTAACTAGTCTAGAATTAACAAGACAAGTAGTAACTTCATTTTTTTCTCATTGTTCAAAAACCTACCACATGAAAGTTATCTAATAAGTTGACTTTTCTTTCAATGAAATTCGTGAAATTTTAAACATTAACACCATTGAATGCCGGTTCAGTGGTCTAGAGGTTAATCGTTTATGCACGAGACCGATAGGTCCTGGGTTTAAATCCAATGAACGGGATCGTGGATGCTCACTGTTGAGGAGTCCCATACTAGAATGAAACTGTCGTCCAATACTTACAGGCTTTTCATGATACTCTAGCTTTAATTGACTTAAGAATTCAACTATAAAATAAAATTAAAGCTATAACATGATGAAAATATCATTTGAATATTGATATATTCTAATAGTTGAAATCATGAGTCAATTGAAGCTAAACCATCATGAAAAACCTGAAAGCACTGGACGATCATCTATGTTTTGTTTTCTGACCAAACCATCCATCTCAGAGAACAAAACTCCATCAAAATCATTCACCTGAGCCACTAATCTTCTCCACCATCTCAAGACCATCTATTTATTCACTTTTTTTATCTCCATACATTAATTTAAAGCTAACCATCATTTCCTATTTTACGATTCTTGTTTTTATCTAATTATTCTTTTAACTATCTTGATCATTCAGAGAACAGATTTAAACTAATAAAAAACATTAATGATAAAATAGTCATTTGAATGAATGATTGAATGAATTCAACAAATAAGTAAGTAGATAATAAAACAACAACAACAACAATCCATTGAACACATTGAAAAAGTAGATTAAAAATCAAAATCAAATGAAATGGAATGTTTCTTTTTGTATTGACCAACAAGTATATATAATAACAATCATCATATAACTCTCTATATATATATACATATATAGACATCATTGAGATGGTGAAGAAGATTTGTAACTTAGATGAATGAGCTCAAAGAACATAACTTCATTAATACATCATTTTTGGTCGAATAACAAAAATACCCCCCCCCAATTTTTATTATCAATAAAGAAGATTTTTATTGATTTTAATCGTAAATGTCTTATTTGAATTGATTTTTTTATCATTTCAGTTTGGTTTTGTGTTTTTTTCTCTCTTTATAACGTTCAGTTTGTAATGGTACCCTCTTTTATTTTCTAGTAATGAATGAACAATTGATTGTTGAATGTTTATGTTTATGCGGAAATTTTATTTGAAAATTGTAAGTGGAATAAAAAAATAAAAAACGATTTCCTGAATTAATTAGTCCGATATTAGAGATTTTATTTTTATCTGGGAGTATTTCATTAGGGCTGACTTCATGTAAGTAGTTGTTGTGTATTTATTTTACTATTGTTAAATTACTTACTTACTTACTTACGCCTGTTACTCCCAATGGAGCATAGGCCGCCGACTAACATTCCTTAACACACTCTATCCTGGGCCTTCCTTTCCAGTTCTATCTAATTGTTGTTCATTCTTTTCATATCTGTCTCTGTTTATCGGCGTAGTGTGTTCTTCGGCTTTCAGGATTCCATGTGAGAATTTGCCTTGTGATGCAGTTGGGTGCTTTCCCCAATGCGTGTCCTATCCACTTCCATCGCTTCTTCCTGATTTCTTCCTCCGTTGGGATCTGGTTTGTTCTCTCCCACAATAGGTTGTTACTGATAGTGTCTGACCAATGGATCAGAAGTATTTTGCGTAGACAGATATTAATAAACACTTGTTCTAATGACTACATCTATGATTGTCTGTCTCACTAAGTTTTGTTATCGACATATACTCTTCTATGCCTTTCCACTATCTTGTTAACTTGTCTTTTGATAAACTAACTTATCCGAATGCTGTGGATCCGGCAATTTTTTGGGATCCTTAAAATTCCATTGATCCAGAATTTTAAATTCATTTCTGAATAGTTCTACATCAAGTATGGATCGGTTATGTATTCCGGAATGATAATGAAAACTCAGTAATATCATTCAGCTTGGAAAACAAAACATCACAATAATTCACGAAATACTATTCACTAAAATCTAACACTGGCTAGTCTACAATTTCTTTGACATCCCAAGTAGGTTACAGATCGCTTGAAAGTTGCACGATAAATTAGGTGTTAATCCAGGCAAAGTTTTATGTATAAGGTTATACGTTAAATGCCTACCTCAAGGTCGATTTGTGTTATATCCCGATGAAAATAATGAATGGTAACTGTTGGAATCTATTTCTGGTCTATTACTACACATATATTTTTATTGCGCATTTGTAAAGTAACCAAACTATTCATATTCGTGTTTCTCCTATCATAAGCTTTATTTTGACTTATAAATTATTATTATATGATTTACCATTCTTGAGTTACGCCCAGTCTATCAATTACTATCTCCCAAATTCTCAACCACTTTGGCTAAATCTTGTGCGAATGTTGTTTCTTATTCTATGGTACGATGTGGTGTGTTTGGTTTGTATATAAACCCAGTATGTTTGAAATAAATGCTTTATATCGCAAAGGCTGATATTGGTATTCTGGAATTAACAGGCAGGGCTAGGCAGGAAGCAGGACCGGTAAGGAATCAAAACTGCTCGTACGGATTTTATGCGTCATCGGTCCGGTTGATAAATCACTGTTCTCTAATTGGTGGTATAATTAGGTTACATTTAATAGGATACAAGGCCATAAGTTATAACAATTTGTCTACCTGTACATGCATATAAGTGGCATATACAAGTTTATTCAGCGTCTGAAAACGCAACTCTCACTGTTGCCTCATTTATATGTTGTTTCTACTTTGATCAGGAGTGTGATGATTCAAATCAAAGATCAAATCAACTTCATTCTAGATATACAAAATTATCCAGAAATTTAATTTAACTTTGAATATTACTATATAACTTGTTATAATTGTCATGAATCACTCACAATAAAATGATAACCTTCGGGTTGATTTTCTCTATCCAGTGGCATACGAGTTATCAGTTCACCTTTTTCATTAACTTCAAAAGGATTCGGTCCTTGACCTGGAGGCCAGTGAATAGAATAATTCAGTTCACCATTTAATCCAAGATCAGGATCCAGTGCTGTAACTTCTCCAATTAATAATCCAATATCATCGGTTTCAGATACCTAATTTTTAAAATAAATGAATTTATAATACAAACAATTAAATTATGTCTTGTTTGAAAAGAACAAATAACTGCTGTATATTACAAGAACCGAAATTCAACATTTCTGTGTCATCTGAATAAACGGTCCTAGTGTTGTAATTAATTCAGTCCTACTTGTTTACCAATAGACGACTATTAGTCATATAGAGTTTAATCTGCATTCATTTTAGACATGAACACTTGCTAACAATAATCATGTCCATTGAACAGATGAGTGGATGTGTGAATTCAATAGCTTAATAGATAAGACATTTACGTTTGAATTAATAAGTAATGGATATGAGTCTTAGTAAAAACATCGGGATTTAGATTCAGGCAAACCTAGGCGAAGGGTTCATACTTCGAAATATGTTTACGCGGGAATCCACTACTAGTTACAAATCTAACATGAAGATAATATTGAAATATCCGCTCAAGATGAACACATGCCATACACTAGTCAAAATTTTAGTCTAGCTTATAAACTACAGTAAAAAAAATGATACTGATGTTTATTTGTAAGGGTTGTTTAAATCTTATCATTGTTGATGCTAAGGAATGTCTCTTTCAGCACACGTTCATTCTTCGAGGATTGGCTTAATATCCCAATTAAGTCACAAGAATTTTAAGCAGGGTTGAATAGCGAAAGGCAGTGAAATGTTCTGTTCTATTTGGGACTGTGTTCTTCCTAACACTTAGTAAAGACCTAAGAGTTGCATTCCAAATAAAATCTCATTCATCTTTAACGTTGTAATATAAACTGTACTCTTAGTTTCAAATAAGATTTACTATCACTGATAGCATCTATCGAAAAAAATGAATAACAGTTCATTTAAGAAAACTTTTCATCAACCATTATGTGTTGCTACTGAAACTGAATTGTATGATATTCATAAGATGAACGTCGGTCAAAATTACTTTTATATAAGAACTGATTATAATCGGATAATTAATGATAGCCAGATAGAACTAGACAATTATTTCGTCACAATATATAACTCTTCAGCGTTTGGAAATTCCCTTTTTTCTGTTAGCATATGAGTTATTAACGTTAAAATGCTTTTATGTAATGGATATCCTGTCTATTCTAGTTTTCATTGGTTGATTCATATTTGAAATATCCTAAATCGTTCGTAATAGAATTTACCTCAGACCAACTGGATACCTCAATACTCTATTCATTCTTACAAAGATATAACAAGTATTATGTAGTGTGCTACTGATTTAGACAGATATAAGTAGTATATATCATCAACCGAAAGTGAAATATCTGATGGCAGTAGGTGAAGATCAAAGAAATGAGAACAAGAGCAAAGAATGATTGGTTTGGAAATGAAAGAACAATGAAGTCTAAGACGATTGATTGACATTTATATATGAACTATTTACTGTATAGTTCTCAGATTTTACTAAGATATTCTGTAATTTTAAGTTGTAATGCATTCGATTGTCCTCACTTATGTTCTCGTTCACTACAGATCAAGTGTTATCATTTTGTTATTCTATGGCTTAAATCTTGATAGCAATCATTATACATATTGATAATGCTTATGTTACTTATTTAAATCCATCTTTGCTTATAATGATTGTGAATTAAAGGCCATATCGAAGCAATCCACATAGTATGCACATATGCCAATAAAATACTGATCAGTTGCAGTCTTAAACATCAATGAAAAGATTCAAACAAACAATACCAATTAAATTTAAAACTTCATTCCATTTTACAAACAAGTGGCTATTACAATTCAGTAGCTAAGTTGGCAACGCAACGGCATTTGAAGCGAACGGTACTGAGTTCCAGTCCAAGAGTGAGCATCAACTCTGAGATGCACGTACATCCATCTGACGAGTCCTAAATAGAACAAAATGCGCATCCTAAATTTTACTGCTAGACACCATCATCTCCACCTATAATACTTGTAACTTACAGTAATAGGATACACATACGCTAATAAGCGGTTGATCAATGACAGTGTTAAACATCAATGAAAAGTTTCAAACAACAAATACCAAATGAATTCATTATATGATTGTTTTAATTTCCCCTTGATTAGATCAATAATGCTTTTTTTTCTTTGATACCTAATTAATAGCATGTTTACTTAGTTTGTCGGAAAATTTTATGGTTGAAAAACAATTTTTCAATTCAATCCATTTGTTTCTTTGATAAATTTTCTTTTAAATTCTATATTAACATATTTAATTATTAATTAGGATGAACACTTTGAAAAACCAAAAAATAAAAAAAAAGAAAACCAAAAACAGGAAAAAAAACAAAAAGAAAACCGAAAAAACGAGACCGTATCTTCAAAATGATTCTTTGAGATTGTCGTAGCAACCAAAGAAAGTCAATTGAGATAAATATGACCAAATACCTGGAAATATTTAAGTTTTAAAAAACAGAAAAAAACTTAGTTAAACGAAGAAAAAAACATGGAACAGATTTAAATGTTTGTTTATATGACCTTGATTTTAATTGGATTTTAGCGGTATTTTATTTACAATTAGATATTGAATGCCTAGATCCTACGTTTTAAATGGACATGTTGTTATGTAACATTAAACATTATTTTGTTTTTTTAGGTAAATCAACCATTCACAACTCAATGTTATTGAATAACTGATAAATGAATAAAATGAAATGATTTAGTTGAGTAAGTTGTTAAGATTAGTTTAAGATAAGGATAGTTTTTATCTCTAATTAAAAACAATTGTATTGTAGTGAACAGAACACGGGTTGAGACAATCGAATGTATTTAACACAAAATTACAGGATTTGTTAATAAAATTTAACAATGAAATAGTAAATGCTTAATTTGCAAAATGTTCATCAATTGTCTCATAATGGCTCAGACTTCATTGTTCTTGCATTTTCATACAAATTGCATTCTGTTTCCATTCTTCGCTGTTCGATCCTCTTTTCTCTCTGCTGTCAGATCTTCTGTTCACGACTAACATCATCTACTACTTATATCAATATAAGTAACATACATCACAGCATAACTATTGAAAAACAGGTATCAGTAAGTAGATAGTTCATAAGCGATTCCTTAGATGTGTTCGTAAATCAACGTGTTAAAGATAAAATACAAAATAAACAGTCATCTGTGACAGTTCACAAACATTAGATCTTTGTATAGTTATTCAGTAGATAACTTGTTGAAATTCTAGTTAAAATCTATATGTTGGATTTCATTCATTTAAGAAGTATAGCAAGTATCAACATTAACAACTGATAATAGTTACATCCTATTTTGAACTAACTGTAATTAAACGTGTGAACTATGTAATATTATCCTCAATGATATCCATTTATTCATTCTTTGACTTGTATGTTCTGAGTTCGATGTTTATCCACGTTGTATGTACACATTACCTAAATGTACTATTAATGTTTGTGTTTTTTTTAAATCAATAATCATTCAACCGTATATCATTTTTAATATTTCATCAACTAACAACAGATCACTTTTAACACAATATATTGTTGCAAATGTATTCTGTAAGCTAAACACCTATAGCCCAACAAATTATAAAGTTTTGCAAAAGCAAATATTATTATTATAAATGAAGAAAATGTTTCGTCTCCTAATTAATACATTTACCGATTTAATAATAGATCATTATTTCGATAGGTAACTCTTAAGATGGATACTAGTGTTTGATTATAATAATTATTATTATTATGAGAATTGACGTAAATCAATAAAATAATGTGTTTGCTATTCTAAAACAATATTTAAGACTGAAATTGATCAGTCTCTTATTGGCATATGTGCATCCTGTTAGGATTGACTCGATATTGCCGTAAGTTACAAATATTATAAGCGGAGATGATGATGGCTAGCAGTGAATCCAGGTCGCGCGTTGCATCCTATTTGAATAACATGATGGCATTTCAAACGAATGCTGCTGAGTTTGAGTCCCGGAGTTAACACAAACTCCGGGATGCAGACACATTCAGCTGATGAGTCTCAAATACGATGAAGAGAGTATCGTGGATTCCACTGCTAGTCACCATCATCTCCGCTTATAATATATATGATTGGAACTTTTGTAACATGATAATTTCGGATAACTGACATATATTTTTATTAATCATTTTTTCATGTATGATACTATTCATAGTTTGATTTACATCGCCATTACTTCCCTTGAATACGTGATTAATCTACTTAGCACTGATACTATTTTATTATTTCCTACTAATTTCATCTAAACTAATACGTAGAATAGTTGCTCACCCTATCTGACCCATATTTATTAGGATCATGAATCTTACAATATCGCTTAACATATAAGCTGATTCAAGTCAATATTGCATATAAATCATCTCAAAATTAATAATTTTATTTTGTTTAATAATCCTAACTTGACACGCTATAACTTTAAACCATGTTCGTTGTCTTAAACCTTGTCACTGTTTGCAATATTAATTTGGATGTGTAATTGTAGAAACTGAAGAGAATTTTCTGGAAAGAATATTCTTTGTTCATATATTAGTGTTTTAATTTGATTGGAATTTTTAAACCCTTTATAATGTTTACAGTTGAAATCACGATTCAATCTAAGCTAGACCACATTTGGTAACTTGGAAGTACAGGACGGTCGTTTCGTCCTAGGATGGAACTCATCGACAGTGCGCATCGAAGATCCCATACTTGGACCGAAACCCAGTGCCTTTGGTTTAGCACGCGAACGTCCAACCTCTAAACCAACGAGCTGACGTAGTTTATCTATTTTAGTGACTTGTTTGATACATAAAACATTTTCCATGCAAAGTTTTCTTACTCTCATTTAGATGTTACTGCTGAATTGTTATTGCATAATGCTTTTCAATATATCTGATAATGTTAAATCCTCTCTAGTAATAAAAGTGATATGGGAGAGATAATTTAACACATTGATTGGAATAGATTCGCACTGACAATACATGGATCAACTACAAGAAGGTGACTACTGTCATTCCGTAAAATTTTATATTCCACTGAACCAAAGAATATCTGAAAATGAAGCCTAATCTGTGACTGTGAAGAAGTAATATTTAAGAAAACCTTCATTGTTTATTTTCGTTCTAAAGTAATCTGAAATTGTAATGAAAAATATACTTTAATGGCTTATGATAATTGGCTTTACAATAGGATAAGTTGTTTCGATTATG